CGAGAGTAGAATTGGGCGAAACAATAGTTTGCAGTTTTGTGGTGAGAGGAAAGTTGTACGGTGACGAGTTTGCCATTCAAAACGGGAGAACCGCTGATCCCTCAAACTGGTGACAACCGAGAAATTAACGAAAAAGACCAACACTAAATGCCGTAAATTCGTTTAAACATGACTATTTCTGGTAATATTATGAGAATTGCCAGAATTTGAATATGGTCAGAAAGGCACCGGGGCTCACGAGACACCAAACCCAGTACGGGGTCTTTGTTTAATGTGAATTTGCCTAAGAATTGCGCAGACTTTGGCTCTCCTGAAAGTATGAAGTGTGTTGAATAGAGAAGCAAAGCTGGCACATGTCGGCCACTCGGAGCCCAGTAAAGTGTGGCGATTTTGTGAATCGGGGCTCAAACAAAAGCTTGTCCGAACGTCTATTCGGACAATTGCCAAGTCGACCAGTCGGGCAGAGCGGCTTAATGCGAGGGCGAAAAGGAGGCATTTTATGCATTTTCACACACATTCGATTCTTTCAGCCTCTATGCCCCTGTTCAGCCCTCACACCTTCCCTAGCCTCATGATTGGCCATTTGCCCGGCCAGATATGCACACCCTCGGCCAGCCTCGGATGCAGTTGGGCCGGACAACCAATCCGCCTCGACCGCCCGGTTCCCACCTCCCAGACCCGGCCCGGCTATGGTGCCGACTTTGTGCACGTCCAGGTCGTCAGATCAACCACCGGCTCCGCTCCGATCGGTCTGGTGCAGGCAAGACTTCGGTGCACAGTCAAACCGTGAACGATTTCATGTTTGTATGCATTCCTGTATATATATATATATACATATATATATATTTATATATATATATGTATGTATGTATGTGTGTGTGTGTGTATGTGTGACCAAATGGGTGTATTTTCTTGTGCCATGCCAACAGCTACGAGCGTTGCGGACATGTCAGCCTCCTTCCGGGCAACATTGGCCTCAAATCCGTCGTTGTGCCTCGTGAAACCTGGCGACCCGGACCGACGGCCCTAGGACAATCCATCCGAGTGACTTCGTCTGTCGGGTGTGTGTGTGTGCCGTTTCGAGGGATAAAGCCAACCAGACAAGGCCGACCTTTCAGCCCGACAAGATTGTCAGGATTTCGCTCACCCCGGCTCGAGACGTACCGGAATCCCCGGTCAGACGCCAGCCTACTGGATACCACCGGTCGTGTGTGTGTGCACTCACACTTGGCACACACCGACACGCCTAGATAGCGACGAACAGAAGCCGAGACCTCTTGATCTGGCCGGCTGGCAGACGGACTCTTCGGCCAGCTTCAGCCTCAGAGATACCCGTCAGACTGCAGGCCGGTTGCGTGTGTGCGCTGCCGGAGGCAATCGACACCCGGGCCGAGAATCACACAGTTTGGTATATAACCCAACCACAGAACTGGCCTCCCCATTCTGACGGATAGTCCTTGTCTTCTGCCATTTTCTCTACACTTTTGTTGGTTTCGAATCCGCTCCAACGTCCCCAGTGAGTCGACCGGGCGCTCGAGACCGGGCTCATGTTGGTCTCATTTGTGCTGTTGTGCAAAGCTCGGATCTATCCCATTTAGTGTTGCATGGATTTTACTCGTTTTGCCTCCAACCAATTCTCAGACTCGCTTTCACAACCAACTCCCTTGGGCTGGTTGTTTGATTTTGCAAAAGCATCAAGCCCACTCCTAATCTCTTTTGCATCGTTCACCCGCCGGCATGCTCGCTTCACATCACATCTCGCCTGAATGCCCACGCCACTTTTCGCCTCGAATGCCTTAACCTGCGCTTAATCGGCCTTTTTTTGCTATTTTATGCCATTTTCAGATTTCTCCTGACCAGCCATGGATCCCAACGATCCTGACTTTCTCTACTTGGGAGTGGATCGCAAGAAGCTGTTGAAGGAGGCCGAAGCCGGAGGGCTAGACTCCAAAAACCTCTGCTGGGTTGAAGATGAGAAGGAAGGTTACGTTTTGGCCGATGTGGTCGAAACTTCTGGCGACACTGTCGTCGTCAAGAAGAAGGACGGCAATGTAAGTCACCAAATGAGGCTGAGTATGTCTGCATGCCCTGTTACAGGTGACCGCATGTTCACTGGTTCGCAGACTTTGGCCTAATGTGTCGTTTCCACTTGTCGCTTTAACAGGAGAAAAAGATCCGAAAGGATGACATACAACAGCTCAACCCTCCCAAGTTCTTCTTAATCGAAGACATGGCCAATCTGACTTTCCTCAACGATGCCTCTGTCCTGGAGAATTTGCGTGCAAGATATTACAGAAATCTCATTTACGTAAGTTGCCCATTCTTATTCGTCAGCAAATAATTTTATCATTATACAACTGCCTACTCACGAGTAGTCAGCAAGCCTACTCGAGCTCACATACACTTAAGCATACCATTCTTCTACCTGGTTCGCAATGTGATGCTGATCTGAGTGGCACGGTCACTTTGGACGCAACTAATTTCCACATCGCCTGCACAGTTTGGTTGAGCATGGGAAGGAAATCTTATCGCCTCTTTGCTTATTTCTGCAGACCTACTCGGGCCTCTTCTGCGTGGCCGTCAATCCCTACCGACGCTTCCCCATCTACACGGCTCAAGTGGCCATGAAGTACAAGGGCAAACGACGTGCTGAGATGCCGCCGCACATCTTCTCCATTTCGGACAACGCCTATCACAACATGCTGCAGGGTGAGATAAACAAGTTGTCTACCAATCACTATACCTCAGGCTTGTTACTTCAAACAGGCCTTGGGGGAACTTTAAAAATCCTAACAACCATCCCTAACACCGAAATAGTAATTAATCATAGACCCATTGAAGAAGCTTCAGTTTGTAAATTTATTTCGAACATTATCTTAATGCTATGATTACTACTTTGTGAGTAGCATCTGATTGAATTTGTTAAATATAATATTCAAGGATAACAAATTGTTCTTTAACATTTCCACTTTTTACCAGATCGTGAGAATCAATCCGTCCTGATTACGTGAGTTATTTCAGTTCATTAACATTATCTCCTTGACCTATTAGCTTAAGATGATACAATTTGTCTATCGTGAGGAAGAGCTCTGGCTCTATTCTAGTAGATAGAAGCAAACATTGAATGCAGCAAACTTGTTATCCATAGGCTCCATCTGGTAGACAGATCATCCTCGATAGTATCAATATTAGTCAGATTTTACTTGAATATATTTGAATGCTACTGATCAACTTGCACGTGGCATTGCTATGAATAAAGGAATGCTTGCTAAACTGTTACTTAGGCAGCATGATTTATACGATATTATCAGAATTCTATCGCTTCTTTAACCAACCATTTCATCTGGTTTTTCCCATCTACTTGGCTAACTCGCTATAGTGCTTTTTATCAGATCACTGCTAACTTTATGTAATCCTTGATTTCATGACTTTGCTATTCTATAGAGGCGAGAGTGGTGCCGGGAAGACAGAAAATACGAAAAAGGTCATTTCTTATTTCGCCATTGTGGCTGCAGCTTCACCAAAAAAGGACGAGGAAGAGAAGAAAGTAGGTCGGACAGTCAAATGTTTGCTTATGCTTCATTATCATCATTGACATATTTTTTAGCACGTACCTCTTAATGGGGCTTAGTAACCTGCATACGACGAAGTGGACTGGGCGAGAGTATGTGTTCATCGAGTTTCCTCGATATGGGACTTGCAGTTATAGCACATGAAAGTCTGCAATTTGGTATTCAAGGTTTTAAGGGATTTGACGGCTTAAACTATCCATTTCAGTAGGAAGCCAACGGTACAAAGTCGTATACTTTGTATTTTTGAGAGAGAGGCACAAGAAGCTTTTCATAATAATCTTTATGCCAGCATTTAATTACGACGTAATTGATCAAATTGGGTCATTAAACATTTTCACAAACATGCTTATTTGCTCCTAACTAATACGAAACAATCTTTTTCTTATCTTTCCTTAGGGTACCTTAGAGGATCAGATTGTGCAGGCCAATCCGGTCTTAGAAGCCTATGGTAACGCCAAAACCACGAGAAATAACAACTCTTCACGTTTCGTAAGTTTTCAATTTTCATATTTTGTGCAATCCTTTCTTAATGCTGCAAAATGAAAGTATTGTACATATTATTTCTCTTGTGCAATTCTATAGTAGTTTGAAACAATTTACGCTTTCATTTAGGATTTGGGTTATAACTAAGCTCTACTTTTGCCTAATTTGAATACAAGATTCTTATAATATAACTCAAAACTGCTAATGATATTACTAACTTATTTGTGAGTAAGGAAGCAAAATTAAAGCATTGCACACATTATTCCTCTTATGCAATTTTATAGTAGTTAGAAACAATTATCGCTTTCGCTTAGGATTTGGATTATAACCAAGCTCTACTTTTTGCCTAATTTGAATACAAGTTACCTATAATATAACTTGCAACTGCTAATGATATTACTAACTTATTAGTGAGTAACGTAGCAAAATTAAAGCATTGCACACACTATTCCTCTTATGCAATTCTATAAGATTTAAAAAATAATTTTCGCTTTCTTTTAGGATTTGGGTTATAACCAAGCTCTACTTTTTGTCTAATTTGAATAAAAGATACTTATAATATAACTTAAAACTGCTAATGATATTACTAACTTATTAGTGAGTAACGAAGCAGTCACAATAAAATATTTGATTGGTCAGCGATAGCAATTGGCCTGCTATACCTTGAATAGAATAGACAATTATTTTAAGTAACTATCATATTCTTTCTAAATAAGTAGCTTTGACTGGTAACCTATTCTATCAGTTAAGGTTAAAGCACTAGAACCCTTTTACATCTCATTAACCCTTTCATTCACCTAATAACTTAATTCGAAATTTTGTCTTTTTAATTTTGCCTCACTCTTCGTCTTCAGGGGAAATTCATTCGTATCCATTTTGGTACCAGTGGGAAGATTGCAGGTGCAGATATTGAATACTGTAAGTTTACAGAATGACCATCAGGTTCGGCTAGTTTACATCCTATTTGCATGGTTATTTGGTCAGTTCAGTATGCATGCATATGTCGACTTCTTCCATTGCACTCACGTCTG